TTTTTTTCTCGATTTAATAGCAAGGAACTGCCCGCCCACCAGTATTACTGGCTGGTGGGAATGAAACACTCAAAAGTTTTTCCTTTACAATTAAAATTTAGTAAGATACCAAAAACGTCCCTTTTTGCGTCAATTCGTCTATATTATTTTAATTAAATTTATTTTTTAGACATATGCACCTGTGCCTTCATATTGTAGCGGTGATAGCGATCCTGATAGTGCCTCGGGTGATTCGCAGAGCAGTTCCTGGTGATTCTAGTCAGCTGTCCGCTAAAGGCAGAATCGCGCACGCCCTTAGGAAGGCCAGCCCACTCACCAATAGCGTCTCCAATCACCATGACTGAATTTATTTATTTATTGTTTATTTTACCTACCAAACAACTAACTAACTATACATATATAATACATAAGTGATTTACTACCCGCCAGTGCTAGGGCTTCTTCTTCTTCTACTTCTTTGTTAAGGTGCTGCTGCTGCTGCTACTGTTGTTGTTCTCATCGTTGCTGTTATTTGTGACAACTGCACAACATTTTTTCCCTTTTCTGTTACAAATACTTTCAAAGATTTATATTATGATCATGGATCGTTTATCATCATTATCGTCGTCATGGGCCTCTCTCTATCTCTTCTTACTCTTACGGTTAGCGTCAAAGGAAATCTAGTGTTAATTGACGGTACTTCAATTTTGTTGAAGGAAGAAATCGTTAAAAATTACTTCAACCTTGTTGAAGGAAGAAATCGATTATGGCACCTTGTAAATTTTATTTATTTTAAGACAAATATTGAAATTGTTTAAAACAACTCACTCCCTTCAAATTCCATTGCGCGCACCATCAAAAGCCAGCAACTGTAACTGTTCAAGAAAATATCTAAGAAGGTAGGTGACATTTTACCATAAGTTTGGATTTTTTTGTTTACAATAAATCGTTAACGAAACTGAAAGCGGATAGTGTAGTGTTTTAGTTTGTTTTTTTTTATTAATATGTATCCGGTGNCGTCAGCCAATTCTCGTTATCAGAAATCATCTTTAGTTCCGGAACGCGTTCCTGTCCAAAAAGTAACGACGTTCTGGAGCGTTCCGGCTCGACAACACCACTGGTTTAGGGCATTGCTTAGCATTCGGGAAGACACCGGTTTAATTCCGTGTCTGTCTGCCTTGGTCCAAGTTTTTCTGTGGTTTCCTTGGATCACTTAGACAAATGCTGGGGCAGTAATACTCCACAAATAAAATTTCTGTCTTCATTTCGTCCGTCTCTATCTTTCTCACCCGAACCACCACCCACCCATTTCCACGATTCCTGAAAGGAGGCTGAAGAGGGCCTTCCGCCCTACCTTCCGGCGTAATCCGGAGGGACTGCCCGCCCACCAGTATTACTGGCTGGTGGGAATGAAACACTCAAAAGTTTTTCCTTTACAATTAAAATTTAGTAAGATACCAAAAAACGTTCCTTTTTAGGTCAATTCGTCTATATTATTTTAATTAAATTTATGTTTTAGACATATGCACCTGTGCCTTCATATTGTAGCGGTGATAGCGATCCTGATAGTGCCTCGGGTGATTCGCAGAGCAGTTCCTGGTGATTCTAGTCAGCTGTCCGCTAAAGGCAGAATCGCGCACGCCCTTAGGAAGGCCAGCCCACTCACCAATAGCGTCTCCAATCACCATGACTGAATTTATTTATTTATTGTTTATTTTACCTACCAAACAACTAACTAACTATACATATATAATACATAAGTGATTTACTACCCGCCAGTGCTAGGGCTTCTTCTTCTTCTACTTCTTTGTTAAGGTGCTGCTGCTGCTGCTACTGTTGTTGTTCTCATCGTTGCTGTTATTTGTGACAACTGCACAACATTTTTTCCCTTTTCTGTTACAAATACTTTCAAAGATTTATATTATGATCATGGATCGTTTATCATCATTATCGTCGTCATGGGCCTCTCTCTATCTCTTCTTACTCTTACGGTTAGCGTCAAAGGAAATCTAGTGTTAATTGACGGTACTTCAATTTTGTTGAAGGAAGAAATCGTTAAAAATTACTTCAACCTTGTTGAAGGAAGAAATCGATTATGGCACCTTGTAAATTTTATTTATTTTAAGACAAATATTGAAATTGTTTAAAACAACTCACTCCCTTCAAATTCCATTGCGCGCACCATCAAAAGCCAGCAACTGTAACTGTTCAAGAAAATATCTAAGAAGGTAGGTGACATTTTACCATAAGTTTGGATTTTTTTGTTTACAATAAATCGTTAACGAAANAGACAGGGCCGTAGCGAGGCCGGTTCAAGCGGTGCGGCGCACCGGGGCCCCCGCAGTCGAGGGGCCCCTTAGCAGTTTTCTGTTTTCAAAAAATGACTTCTAAAAAAAACTATGCTGTTAGAGATGAGCTGAGTCAAACTACGAAATGAACATCATAATTTTTTATTTTACTTTTTTCTATATCAATTTTTGTCACAATACTCCATATATTTGATCAGGTACGTAGTTACATGGAATGCATACATCTCGAAATCGCGAATACTTCTACATTCATGGTTTCCTTAAATCCGTTGATATAATTATCATTGCTACCATAAAAAATTACTAATTGCTGACCATAAATCTATATCACCCGAAACATCACTATAGAATTCATTGCACAAACATCAAGTGCCTGCTCTTATTTCTAAAACGTTTTTTTTCTCGATTTGATAGCAGCAAAATCATCAATAGTTTTATCGAAATTTATTTTTCGGGCTCGCTCATTTTCAATTGACAGAATTGCTAATCCATTCAATCTCTCTTGACCCATTGTATGTGAAATTAAAACATTTTTTTTTTAATGACATTTTTCTGATCATCATTTTTAAGAAGGGCCCCTTGCGGAATACCGCACCGGGGCCCCGAGCTCATCGCTACGGCCCTGTTTCTTGTTCATTGAAAATTGAAATGTTAAATGACTTCCGACACTCAAAAAGACTTATTTTGCCTTCTTCCATAAATGAATATTACTATACCTTTATCAAGTTAAATACTAATGATTGATAACGATATTTCCGAACATCTCAATTTTATATTATTGTATACAATTGCAAAGTTTTATAAAATACGAAAATAAATCCCTCAACTTCCATGGACTAAAGAAAATCTTCCATATAGAATAAAAATAAATAAATTAATGAGGAAGTTTTGTGACTTGTATCACAATTGGTCTGTTAAAAAACACAATGAAACAAAAAGCGTTAATATTAGTTATTTAGGCAAATATATTAAGTTACTAATACAATAATAATACACAATTAAAAACAAATAATAATGCGTTTCTACGTGCTCAGTGGCATGTTCTTCAATTAAGTACTGGTTTAAAATAAAGAAAATGCTTTTATTTTATACATACGAGGGTTTTTAGGTTCGCGGGGGTTAATAACTGGAAATAAGAATACGAATTTATTTTTTCTTTTCAATATATTCACCTGCTACCCTTACGTATACCTTCGAAAAAAAAATGTTTTGTCTTTGAAAAATACGCCGAAATTGACTTCTTCCCACGAAGATTTTTTTCAAGTCTGGGGATATGTAATAATCGCTGGGAACTAGATCAGGACTGTAGGGTGGGTGAGGCAAAATTAGAAGGCCCCCTTTTGCAGGGCAGTCACTGCAACACAGCTGTTGTGAACAGGCGCATTGTCGTTAATTTGGGTCAATTTTTCTTTTTTTTTCTTTGACTGCTTCCTCCAATTATGGAGACACCTTTATCTTTATAATCTATCAAGAGGATCCCTTCTGAGTTCCCCAAAAGACTGTGGCCATGATTTTCCCAGCCGACTGTGACACCTTAAACGTTTTGGGTTGTGGTGTGCCTTTTTTATGCCACTGCATAGAGTCGTGTTTGAACTCAGATTTATAATGATGAACCCAAGTTTCGTCTCCAGTAACAATTCAAGTCAGTAGTCCATCTTTATCTTCACTACAGAGGTCCAAAAACGAACAAGAACACCACACGTCTTGCGCTGACTTTAGTTATACCAAGATGATCGTAAAGAATTTTAAAAATGGTTGTATCTGATACTCCCACCATTTCTGCGAGCTGTTTCTTATTAAGTCGGGCATCTTCCGGTATTAATTTTTCGACTTTTTTAATGATTTCCTGAGTGGTCACCTTGATCGGCCGGCCTGACCGTAGGTCGTCTTCAAGTGACTCTTAAAGAGAATACGCCAACACACCAATCATGGTTTTACCTGGGCAAGACTTCCCGTA